TATCCCGTCGCGTATATCCGCGGAAAGTAGAGAAACGAGGGAGCATAAAGGGTGGAGGAGGAGGAAGAGCAGGAGAAGAAGAAGGGATGTTCGGGGTTGACGGGGGTTGAAGAGAGAAGGGTGGTGGACGACTACGTCGGCTCCAGCGTGGGGCGCCAAGTGTTTTGATGCTTGTTATGCGAAGGGGAGCCTGATAAACAACGAGATGGAGAACGGACCTGGATCATCACCATCCCCCTACTACCCCTTCGCTCGCGACCGACTGGCTACGTTTCTCTCATTACGAAAGCATCGATAGATACGTCGACACCGATTCCTTTGTATCTTTTTCCTCTTTCTCTCAATATTGTTTTTTCTTTTAAACGTATTCTCCCCGCAATCTTTTATACTTTTTTTTATTAAGCTGTCAAAAATATGTCGATATTTTTTCTTCTTTTCTAGTTTATATTTCGCTAACGACTAATTTATCATAGTCAATTAGAAATGATTCTTAGGAAAGAGAGAAAAAAAGAAGACAATTGGGTATGGGGGTGGGAGGTGGGAGGTAGAAATGGCGGCGGGAGATTCGAAAGGATCATCCCCGTACGCGTACCTTCTTTTTTTTTTCTTTTTCTATATACGCGCGCATTGTTGCACGCCGTACGACCCGATAATAATAAAATGGATAGGCGCTTTTCTTCGAATGTGTGAACACCGTCGTTTGAAAGAATATATTATACGCACGGGCGTGTGTACGTGTGTACGTGGGAGAAAGATACGTAGGTGGACGACGACGAGAATGGCGTCGAGATCGGTGTCGTCGGCGAGACATCAGCTTGCACCCCCTATGAAAGAAAGAAAGAAAGAAAGAAAGCAAGAAATAAATAAAGATAGGAAGGATGGAAGAAGATAGGGATTGAAGAAGAAAGGGGTGGTACCGACGCCAGGGATGCTGGAATTGCTGGTCCTCTGGTGGTTGGTGGTGGTGCTAGTGGTGGTGGTGGTGAATCAGAAGGAGAGGGTCGGATTCCAGTCGTGTCCTCTCCACGCGCCACCGACTAAATATTGTGCGACCATCCGGCTCAGGATCAGTCGACGCTCGACGACCGAGACGGTCGGTGGCCCGAGACGTCGTCCTCATTCTTTCGCGATCATCATATTTTATTCTTATCGATAAGTTATTCGCGATTCGATTTCATAAAGGAAAATTAATACACCACGTATGTACGTATCTATTTACTCAAAAAACAAAAAAAAAACAAAAAACAAAACAAAACAAAGAAATAAATATAAAGGAAATCGACGTTTCACCCGTTTATAATATAAGTCGAAATAAAATGATAGATTCTTATTATAATATATATATAGGGCTTTGATTTTCTTCATCCAATCAATCGAATTTCGGCCGTGCCAAAGGAACAAATATCCCCTTGAGCAAGCGCCAAACGTTCGAATATTCGCGAATAAGCGCCTGCGCGGAATAAAAGACCAATCCTATCGCTCGTACGTCGCAACAGGTAAGGGGTTAAAGACGAGTTTGGAAATTCCAAGATGTAGATTCCTTCCATATGCATGCGTTTTATTTGCTCGTTAGTTTCAAATTAAATATATATATATATTATGATGATGAATTAGTTCAAACATTGATTTGATGGGTACCCAAAGTTTAGATACGAACGATCGATTAAGTTAGAGTCAATCTTACCGACCCTACTATTATCGTAAGATGGCGGGAAAGGGATGAGGATTAATTCACAAATTGGTTTCGTCGTAAGGTGGCACTGAGTTCGCTCGAGGAATTACAGCGGGCCAATGTGCGGTATGTTGTATGTTGCGCTGGCAAGAGGGGTTAGGGAGGGCGGAGGGAGGGAGGGAGAGAGAGGGTGATGGTGGTATAGACATGAGATCATGGGGAAGGGGCAGGGGTGAGGTAGAGGAAGGAGGTTTGGTCGGACAGGCGCCTACGGCGGGAATCCAAGTGGCGCCAGCGTTAACGTAAGCGTCAGTCTTAGCGCCGGCCGTGCGTCCGGACCGGCCGATATCATCCAGGAAGTTACGAGCCGCACCTGTCCCATCATACTTCTCCCACCTTTCCTTCTTCTTTTCCTCCTCCTTTTCCTCTTCCTTCTCCTTGTCGTCGTCTCTTCGTACTCAACGTCGTCGTCGTCGTCGTTCTCTTCGTCTTCGTCGTCTTCGTCTTCGTCGTCGTTGTTGTTGTCGATTATATGCAGGGCCGTCGCAACGCAGCTGCACGATCAAAACCATTTCCCGAGGCTTCCGCTGGAAGCTCGTTTGGCGAGAAGGATAAAAACTCTAATAACGGAAGCGGAAAATTAAATAACGTTAGATATCATCCGTCTTCATTACATCATTAGAATCTTTTATCTTTACCTATTCTTAGATAAGTTATCGCAACGATGCAATTACCATACTTATTGTATCTTCATTCCTACCAAGTTATTATTGATAGCTCGCGTCATTCTTGATCGAAAAATTGAAAATTTCGATCGAGTCACGCAAGCCGAGTCTGAAGTCTATCGAGGAATACTTTACAATCCGTCGCGTCACTTTGAATAATCGTTAATGCGAAATCGCGTAAGGACTGACGCCAGAGATGCTAATAACGATCAAGAACGATTACTCGCTGGTATTCGATTAGGAATATTACTGAAATCATACGAAAGATTCATTTCTTTTTTCCTATTTTTATTTTCGCGTTATGACTCGTTTATATAGAGACGTTTCTCACTGTAATTTTGTAAATATAGGTATATCGTATTTGTTAACAGTCGAGTTTCTTGTCGAACTATCTTACGAAATTTTACGACACTTTTTTGGATGAGATAAACAAGCTAAAATTTCTTCGATGTTGGCGATGATTGGTCATTCCGACAAGAACTATTACTACTACTACTAATACTACGTGCCGGTTCATCGGTACCGGCGAGTTACTGAAAAAGATTAGCCTGGTACCGAGAATAGCGCAAAATGTCTCCGCGCTTCGCGAAAGATGAATTGTAGCGGAATCGTGAGTGGTCGTTTCGAAGAACGACGATGATCACTCTTTCTCACTCTCGCTCATGTTAGACTTGGAATTTGGAGCGTTGACATCGGCGCCAAGCGAGGGTTCAAACGGCTACCAAAGAGAAATACCATTTTCTCTCTTTGTGTCGAGTGTCAAAGCTCGTGAAACCTCCGGGGAACGCGCGAGGACAGGAAATTAATAACATGTAATCATCCTCTAAGATGTGTCCACTCATCTCCGTTTCTCTATTTGTTTTGTTTTTATTTCAACATCTATTATTAACATTGGGAGATAGATTTTGTAGAAAATCGTGGTCGTCAAATACTCAGGACACGTTATGTACATTAATTTTCTAAAATAAAAAACAAATAGAAAAATGTTTAGAACTGCGTTTGTAGTGTTCTATACGTTGTTCAGTACTTCTATACTTAAATATCTATGTAGGTTTTATTTGATTTGGTCGTATATACCGTACGTACGTTCCATTCCTCGGGTTACATTGTTCTAACTAGGCACCGTGTTGATCGTCAGTCTCATCGTGACTCCACATTAGCCACTGTCCGTTTCGTCCGGCAACGGCAGCGGGTGCCATCGGCGCGATATGTCAAGAATGGCGCCATGCTCCGAACGTTCGTTCGGCTCCGTGGCATCGGGAACGCGCCAGTAATTTTCGCGTTTCGAAATAGAACGAAATAAAAGTAGTACGTCGTAGTACGGGGCTCTTTCGGGCACGCACACTATGCACTCGAAATCGTTTCTAAAGATGGCGCCGATGATGAGGACACGTCGCGCGAGTCCTCCTTCATGTTTTAGCCTCTTTTAATTCATCGCATCATTCCACCGTTTCATTTTAACTTATCTCTTTGTTTATTGTTTCTGCAATTTCTTATGGTATAATATTTTGGTACAAGGAAAAAGGAATAGTAATATAAACAGTTTTAATTCGAATGAAAAGATACTACAACTATTCCGACGGCCTTGAAGAATTTTACCGAGCTTCATGGTGTCGTCTAGACGTATATAGGAGATGTAACATATATATATATATATATATGTGTGTGTGTGTGTATGTGTATATATATATATATATATTATTATTATATATAAATATATACATATTATATCGGTAAGAGTGGAAAGAAGAAAGAACGAGGGACAGTTTGCGGAGGCCAGGCGCCTGATTACTAGCCAGCTCCGGACGCCAGACGTACATAACTAAATAACTTCCTAAATTCTATATCATTTAAGAACGGGCCTTCGAACGGACGAAATAACGCGTCTAGACGACGCTCAGGAGTCGGGAGGGTTGGGATAAGGGTGGGGAGAACGAGTTCCGATGCGAGTAGGCGTGCACTTACCCTTCTTCCTTTCTCTCTTTCTCTCTCTCTCTCTCTTTTTCTATCGTTTTTTTTTGTTTTTCAATATAATGCACCGTTCCTTTGAGCGATATATTTTGAACAATGCGAAATTTTGCGAAAATCAAAAAAAAAACATTTCGTTAAGGAATTTTTTAATCGATTATTGAAAGTTCGGGATGGAACAGTGAGAGCACAACCATAAATTTGCCTTTTGGAATACCATTGAGGAAAGTCCCGTCGGCTTATTACAATATTACGTCCGCGAAATCGCGAAACGAGTTTCTAAAATTAGACAATTTATGAGCGACGATCGCACGACAGTGTGCAGTGGTATGCCACTCGGGATCCTTTTTTAGCGTTTCTCCTAATTTCTGACCGGTCTGGCGCATACCTGGTCTCCCAAAGGCGGGTTTCGGATTAAAGAGCGTATCGGCATTTTTTTCGGGGATATCGAATGGGGTTTATCTTAAAAGTCGGCACCGGGATTTTGCACGCCTTCCTATCGAAATCTAAAAGCGTGATTATCCTCTAACACGTTCTCCTACTCTAATTATATCTGTTTGATTTACATTATATACACAATACATAGATCATTGATTTATTGATCAAAATCATTTTTCTTTATTTGTTTTTTTCAGATCGGACAATGATACGAGTACGTATACGCGTTACTGAAGATAACGACATACACCTTGCAGATATATCATCTGTAAGTATAAATATCTTATAAGGAATATATTATATATATATATGATTTTGCATGAATTTCACTCGGACTTCTCCTCGGCTCTGAATGAAACATTTGGTAGTCGGTTCGGGCATAATAATGAACCGGTTTATTACTATTCTCCGTGAATGAAACATAAATATATATATTTATATGTATATATGTATGCGTAAACAAGCAAATGGGAAGAATCTCGTGCTCGTTGGCTCGACGAAACTTTCCCTCGATGACCACGCCAATGTTCATGGACGAATACGAAGAGAAGACCGAGTTACAAGTTCAAATCTAAGAAAATGGCCCAAGCAAAGGACCGAAAGTTTTGTCGAGGAAATTTAAGTTAAAGGTTGAAAAGGTTAGAAAGGTTACACAGCAAGGGACTATTGAAAGGATAATTCTTTAGGCGGCATTATGACTTTGTTGAGACCAAATCCTATTTCTTTATTCATCGAAAGTGCGATCCTCGGCTTAGAAGAGCCGTCTTCTTTAGCTGAAAGACATCGTGACCGAAATTCGCCCCGGAATGTCGACCCCCAGGGTGAAACCACTTCATAATGATCGTTTCTGGCGCCACGCGGAGGCGCTGGCGTCTGCTTGGCTCAGCCGATAGAGGAACCAAGAACGAGCCGACTGACCGAGCCACCCGTCTCTCTTCGGACGAGTCCATCTTGCATTTCTACCTTCCCCTCTTTCTCTTTCCACCCTTCGCCACTTCTTTTCCACTTTAGATCTTTGTAAAAGAAAGGCCGGCGACCGAAGTCCTCGCTTTCCCTTCCTTCCTTCCTTCCTTCTGATTCATCCTGTCGCATTAGTTCCAGACCTATTAATCTTGTATTTTTCTAAGAATCTTTCCAAATTTGTCTGCGTATATTAGAAATGACAAAATATCATTCTAAACATATTATTAAGGTATTTATTATAGATTACGAATAAGATAGATCATTAGCAGTAACAAAATTGAGCAATTATTCTCGATAATTTAGATATGACGAGACAATTTATCGGTATTGTTGCGAGTATTAATTGGAGAAAGTCTGAAATCATCGGATAAGACAAAAGCGAAGAAAAGTCATTAGTTTAGAGAAACGTAATGAAAAAAATCTGGCGATATATCTCGTAGCGTGTTAGGATCGACGGCGCCGGTAGTAGAATGGGTGGGTGGGATGTGGGGAGGGAGGGGATCTCTCTTTCGACAGTGGCGCCTCGAGCGGCGAGCGCCGGAAGCCCTGTCGGCGGCGGCGACGGCGGCCATGTTTAACAATCTTCCTTGTGTGTTTAGTATGCCGCAGTCGGTGTATCGGCGCGCCGTGACGAAACACACGGAACGAGAGGTTGAGCAGCAACGAAGTTGCAACGGTGGGGCGACGGCGGAGAAGAAAAAGGAGGAAAAGAAGGGTGAAGTATCGAGATGAGTGGGGGGTTTTAGTGGATAAGGTGGTGGGGACCCTCGTTGGAAATCGGTGCGGCTCGAGACGGGAACCTCGTGCGTGAAACGGACAGTCGCGTCGTCGAACTGAACCGAGTCGAATCGAATCGAATCGTAGTCGAACGACGAACGCCGGGGACTACTTGCGCTTCGTATTTTGCTTATGTATTCTTATTCGAGGAAGAATAAGAATAAGAAGAAGAAGACTTAAGAAGCTTTTGTGAACTGTTCATTATAATTATTATCATCATCATCATCATCATTGATGAGAGTATTTCAATCAAATAGAATATTCTAAAGTGACAAAGTGTACGAGGTCTAATAAGGAGAGGAAATCAAAGAGGAAGAGACGAGAATATCGCGTAACTGTTTCGAAAGAAGCAGAGCAAAGGCAGGAGGTAGAAGTAAAGTAGAAGTAGAAGTAAAAGAAGAAGAAGAAGAAGAAGAGGAAATAGTAAGACGCACGCGTTACGAATCAAAATCTCGCGTGTCCTCGTATTCTCATTTATATATTTCTCATCTCGTTGGCAAAAAGAGAGAGAGAGAGAGATAGAGGATTCTCCTTGTTCTCCCCTTCCGTGTTTGAGTGCGCCTCTCTCGGTCGTTCTCGGTGGATCGCGGTAGCAATTCGAAGAATGTGACAGTGCGCGTCCTCGCGGTCGGCTCGCGCAAACGAATCGCCCACCGGCGATGGATGATGAGCGAAAAACACTGCCTGTTGCTGTTGTTCTTTTACTTGTTCTAAGTATCGCGGTGTGAGAACGTTGATAAGGAGGAATAAGAAGAATAAGAAGAAGGAAGAAGAAGAAAAAGAGATAGAAGGGAAGGGAGATAGAAAAGGAGAGAAATCGAAAGTTAAACGACAATATCGGTAGTAGTAAAGAAAAAGAGAGAGAGAGAGAGAGAGAGAGAAAGAGAGAGAAAGATAGACGATGCGAGCGGAAAATGTCAGACGGTGATACGCGAGCACGGATGACGGGGAGCGATCGACGCGACGATCTCGAGTCGGAGGTTGTTGCAGTGTCGTCGCTGTCCTCCTTCACGTCGTTCCTGTCATTTTTCATTTTATCGTCGTTGTCAACTTCGTGGTCGTGGTCGTGGTTCTCGTTGTTGACATCGCTGACGTCGTCGTCGTCGTCGCCGTCGTCGTCGTCGTTGACGTCGTCGTCGTGGTCGTCGTCGTGGTCGTCGTCATCGTCGTCGTGGTGGTGTTCGTCATCGAACGGCGCCGGCTTGCCGGCAGGGACAACGGCGCACGCGGTTCGAAAGCACCAGCACCAGTACCAGCACCAGCTCCAGCACCAGCAGCAGCAACAACCTTCGAGAGTAAGGGAAAGTGTCGTTTTGTGTTCGTCGTTAGTTATAACGAACGATAATATCATCTCGTTGATGTTGTGAGAAGTTTGTTTTTTTTCATCGGTTTGAAGAAAAAGAAATAAAAAGAGATAGAGAGAGAGAGAGAGAGAGAGAGAAATAAAGAAAGAAAGAAAGAAAGAGGTAGAGAAAAGAAGAGAGAAGAGAGAAATAAAGGAAAAAAGAAATTAAAATAGTGGCGTGTATGTGTGTGCGTGCTGTTGTAAATACGTTCGTGCCGAACGATCTGTGCAACAATTTGAATTTCGCGCTGTTCTTATACGCGCGTGTCACGTGCAATAGTTGACCCTACCTAGGAATTTCTTTTTTTCTTTTCTTCTTCTTTTCACGGTTTTTTGTTTGTTCTTGTTGGTTATTCTAGTTTTTGTTTCTTCTTTTTGTTTTTCCTCGTGAACTCTGTGTTTAGTACTTAACTCGTTACTTCGAGTGAAAATAATCAATAAACAACAACAACAACGAAAACAACAACAAAAACAACAACAACAACAAAAACAACAACGAGGAGGGTAGTCACTCGTTGAACGTTCGATGCTGACGAATCGCGTTCTGACGAAGAGAAGAAGAAGAAAAAGAAGAAGAAGAGGAACTGGGGGAGGAATAGGAGAAGAAATAGAAGAAGAAGAAGAGGAGCGTTTTCTTTCTCCCCTCTACCATACCCGACACTCGCGTCGCGACGATAATAAACATCGGGAAAGAGATAAAGTTTTAAGGAGGGAAAGGGAAAGAGAAAGAGAAAGAGAATCTAGAGTGCGCCAGCGCATCCACCCTCTTTCTCTCGCCTTCTTCTTCGCCAACCACGTCGACGTGTAGGTAAATGAGAGTTCAAGGTCAGCCGAGCGGTACTCGACCTAACCTCCTTCGTCTTAGTCGTGTCGTCGTGCGAAATCGGGAACCACGAGGAGGAACGTTGGTAGTTTTACCCCCACCTCCTCCTCCTCCCCCTTTCAAAGAGTTCTGAGGAGAAATAAGATAGAAGAGGGAATACACTTTTCTCGAGACACGCGTAGTAGTAGTTGTTCGAAAATCTCCTCCGAGCTTCGTTTAAACGAAGTTAGTAGGGAGAAGTAGGGCTGACAGACACAGAAAGAGAAAGAGAAAGAGAAAGAGAGAGAGAGAGACTGTCACGCTATTTCGGGAACGCGCGATCTAAAGTGCGCCGAGATATACGTTGAACGTAAATAAATATACGTGCCCGTCGAGCTCTTCCACCGGCTCGCGTTCTCTTCTTCCCTTCGTAAAAGAGAAAGAGAGACAGAGAATCCTCGCTGGCGGTCGCGCATGCTACCCTCCAAAAACGAAAGTGCGTGAACGAGAGAGAAAGAGAAAGAGAGAGAGACATTTTCTTCTCTTCTGCATTTCTTGTATTTTCTTTCGTTTCGTTTATCCCCTTTATTTTTTCTGGAGGAGGAATCTGGAAGTTCTCAGAAAAGTAAAAGGAAGTAAGTAAGTAAGAGAAGAGGAGAGTAATAGTGTGGTAGTGGTAGTGTGATAGGAGTTAGTGCAGTAGTGTGGTAGTGTCGGAGGAGCAGGTTGGATGCCGAGGAAAAAAATTAAATCGAGAGGAGGAACGACTTTGATAGGTGTTTTAAAAGCGGTTAAGTTGTTAAGTACTGGCAACCAAATGCGCGTACCGCAAATCCTGTTTCATGTTCATGTTCTGGAGCAAACGGACGGTGCTCACTAGACGTCTCCTAAAGGCGAAGGTCCGTGGGGAGCATGAAACCGAGTGTGAAGCTCAAGAGGATTCGTCACGTATTCATCGCACAATCGACACGACCGGCGCCGGAAACGACACGAGCGGCAACGTGACGACCACGGTACCGGCGGGCCAAACGAGCACCACCACCACCACCAGAGGAGCGTCTTCGTCGTCGTCGTCCTCGTCGTCGTTCGGCGGAAAAGGACAACGGGGAGGTGGAGGAGGAGGAGGATCAGGATTAGGAGCTGTTCGAACTTCATCGAGCAGCAGCACGTCGAGTAGACTTCATCAAGGTTGCTGCGGTGGGGATCAAAGTTACGACGATGACGAGTATCCGAGTCGATTGCTGAGGTGCAAGGAGCTCCTCAAGACGCTCAAGGAGAATCAATTGGAGATGTTATTGACCGCGGTCGAAAGTTGCGGCGCCGATCTCGGCTCGTGCATCTTAGTACCGAGACAACAACGGCCTTTCCGTAATAGTAGCGATTCCGATAGCGAGATCGACGATCAACAACAACAACGTCAATCGGATAATCAACAACTGGACCAGCAATACCACAGACCACCACCACCACAACCGCCCAACCACAGGCACCAAAATCATTTGCATCATCATCATAATCATCATCATCTCAATCATCATCGTAATAATTTGCGATATCATCGGAGACGTCGTCGTTCTCCTGAAAACGGCGAGCATCACCAGGTGCAATATCAGCAGCAGCAACAACAACAACAACACAGTAGTAATAACAACTCACCTGAGGAACAATCCTCTTCGAGAAAAAGATACTCGGCCAACAGGGTACCGGTCAGAGGTTCGCTCGAGAACACATCGATGGATCCACTCGTGCTCTGCTGCCAAATCTGGCGATGGCCGGATCTCATGCCCTCGGAAGAACTCAAGAGGCTTCCTATCTGCCATTCGGCTAAGGATCCTGTCTACGTCTGTTGCAATCCCTACCATTGGAGTCGGCTCTGCAAACCCGGTAAGTTTATTCTACATTATAGAATTCGAATAAAAAAAAACTTTGTTCTTATCTTATGGTTTCGATCGTTGAATCGAAATTCAAAAATTCCCGCTGCGAAAGTAGATCGACTTGCGTGTCTCTTTTTATTCTTTTACCCTTTCTTTCTTTCTCTCTCTCTCTCTCATTTCGTTTCGTTTCGTTTCGTTTTTCTCGCGTATGCGCCAGCGTGTTTACGTAACTCTGTCAGAGCAGCAGCAGCAGCAGCAGCAGCACATTGAATGCTGCTGTTGCGCGCACGTGTTCCTCGTCTTTATTGTGACAGGCTCTTTCTTTTGCGATTCGATCGTCAAACAAACACCATTTTTTCTCTCCCTCTCTTTCTCCCTCTTTCTTTCTTTCTCTCGTACAAACATACGTAATAAACACACGTCGATAAAGTAGGTGGTAGCGATAGTTGACGATACTACGAGATACGTTTAGAAAAGAAATAGGAAGAAAAAAATCGTATCCGCAATCGAGTCGCGCTCTTTTAAAAGACATTAAATGCTAGCTTTCGTAATTACCTTTTAATCGTATCTCGTGATAGAAAAAGACAAAAAAATTAAGAAATAAATAAAGAAATAAATAAAGAAAGAAATAGATGATATTCCGATGGCCGATCGTTTTCCTGCACGGTTCGCGGAACGCGTTTTATTCGAGTTGCGTCGCGGTTTACCGTATATCTGCCCTCGTTAAGGAGTTTAATCGTGTCGGCATCGGGATCGATCTGTTAAACGCATGTTAAAATATTTATCGACCGAAGAAAATCGCGTTCAGTTTAGTCCCTGCCATGTGTATTCGTGCATACGTGCATACGTGCACGCGTCCATCGTTCGTGTTCTCTTACGTTTACGTTTCCTGCGGTATAATATGAAGAGAGAGAGAGAGAGAGAAAGAGAAGGAAGTCTCTTTTACACCGTTGCTCGTAAACCATTCGCGATAATTTAGGTGAAGAACTTACGCTTCTTCGACATCTTTCTTTCTCTCTCTCTCTCTTTCTCTTTTTCTCACTTTTTTCTTTTTTCTTTTCCCCCTTTTCGAGAATGATTTAACGACGTCGAATAAAGACGGAACATCAAAACGACAGTAAACCACTACCGGCAGGAACGGTATTCGTCACCTATCCGTATACTAGGGGATCGGATGTAAAACTTTGATTTATTGCTTTACCTCCGAGGATTACCTACTGTTTGCTCGAACATTATGTTCCACGCGTAATACCCTCGATACCTACCAGACCCCATTATCGTTAAATTTCATTTCAGAAAGTTACTCGGGGATTATCTTTCTTTCATTCTCTTTTTCGCATAAGAATTCATTGCGTCATCGTATTACTCAGGTATTTTATATTACATCGAAACTAATATAATGATTCGAGATCGTTGAAAAAAATGTGTCGCAGAACGATTCGATTGGGAATTGAAAGAATAGGAGAGAGAGAGAGAGAGAGAGAGAGAGAGAGAGAGAGAGAGAGAGAGAGAGAGAGAGAGAGAGAGAACAGTTCTACTAGACCTAGTCCACTTGTTCTTGTTGTTATCTTTTATTTATTGTATTTTTTGTCCTTTTTTTTTTTTGTTTATGTCCGTTCGTTCATTCGTTATCGTCGTCAAGTTTTATCGAAGTAACGAATTTATGGCAGACCTTTTTCGTGACATCCGTTTCTTCGGGTTGCTTTTTTTCTTTTCTTTTTTTTTTTCTGTTTCTTTTCCTTCAAACGTATCTCCAGACAATTCCGATCCCGGCACCAAGCACCACCAGCACTGCTGGCACTGGCACTGGCACTGGCATCACCACCACCACTAACATTACCATTACCATTACCATTACCATCACCATCACCGACGTGACTTTAACTGCAAAAAAAAACCTTCGCCTCTTATGCCGACGTGAAAACAAGAAAGAGAAAAAAAGAGAGAGAGAGAAAGAGAGAGAGAGAGTAGGCGCCAGTAAAGTAAGAACTCCTTTACGTAACTCGACCGATCGTCGTTTAAAGCGTCGTAAAACGTGAGCGCAGTCCTGTGTTCAGAAGTACACCCAGTGAACAACCCATCCACCCACCTTCTTCGAATCGAATCGACGACTCGTGACGTTGCTTAGTTAGGTATTACCTTTTTTTCTTTTTCCCGTTGCCCCCTACCCCGAGGAGGGGGCAAGGGGTTCTTTATTTTTATTTTTCTTATAGATAAAATCCACTATAAATAAAGTAGGCGCGACAAGAGTCAAGATTAAGATCACGAATCGGAGAGTTGTACGATTAAATCCACGATGAATTACATTATCCCGTTAAAAAGTTTCTGTTTCAAGTTTCTCATTGTCGTTTTGCGTTGGTCTGTTTTGTAATTAAAAAAAAAAGTTCAAGACTTAACGGGAATCCTTTGAATTCCATCACCACCACCACCACCACCATCATCAACTACTACGCGCGAGACACCCTATTTCTAATAATAGATATAGAGACGTTGAAAATTTGTCGAATAAATATATGATACTGCACCCACGGGGTTTGATAAAAAATCACGTCGAATTTTTGATTAACAGAATAAAGTCCAAGTATTTTCTATTTATTTCGTAACTTCTTTCATTCTTGGAATTGAGATTATTGGATAGAATAAGAACAACAAGTAGACTTTGATCTTTATGGAACAAGAACGTTCGTGAGGTAGAGATAAAAGAGTTAGGTACAGAGAGAGGGGTGGTCTGGGAGGAAAATGAATTCAACGTGGAATAGTAAATAGGGGATACTCTATCGCATGTTTAAAGTAAAGTACTTTTCGTTGCGAGTAGAAAGAGCACGTTTTCTAACCTAACGACAACGACAACGACGACGACGACGAAGAAGAAGAAGAAGAAGAAGAAGAAGAAGAAGAAAACACAACGTACATGTCTGTTCTTCGATGTTGCGTGCGTTCTTCATCGTATCATGAAAGAAAAGGCCAACCGAAAGAAAGAATGAAAGAAGAAGAAGAAGAAGTAGTAGTATAAAAAAAGCGAGGGAGGCGAACGTATATCTCAAAATAGAAACCGACATATATATCGTCTACTTCTTCTTTTCTTCTTTTTCTTAAAGAAGAAGAAGAAGAAGAAGAAGAAGAAGGAAGATACGATTTAAACCGAAACAAGATGATGGATCTTAGGCGTTAGATATTGGTGGGTAGCACCACAGTAACAGAACAGCAGTAGAAAGCAACACCACATTACAACCAGCAGCAACCTCGGGAAAACGAAAAAAAAAAAAAAAGGAAGATGAGCGATAGGGAGAGAAAACAGAAAGAGAGAGAGAGAGAGAGAGAGAGTGAGGAGGAGGGAGTGATGCCGACACGTTCTCTCTCTTTCTCTCTCTGTTCTTACCAATAGCTGCACAATCAGAGTTTATGGGCAGAAGGAAATGAATCTAAAAATAAAGCGTATATTGAGCGAGTTGTGTTCTCTCTCTCTCTCTCTCTCTCGGTGTAGAGAAAGAACGAAAGTGAGAGAAAGAGAATGAAAAAGAGAGAGAGAAAGAAAGAGAGAGAGAGAGAGAGAGGGAGCGGCTGGCGGGTTCGCGCGATGCGACGCGACGGTGAAGGATGGAAGGAGTTAAGGGTAGCGGGGTGAACGAAGGGGTGGGGGACGAGGGGAGGGGGCAAAGTATATAGCGACCGACCGGCCGGCCGGCCGGCCATTCGAGGTGGGGCTGACGGGGAGGGTGGAAGCGGTGGCACAGGGATAGAGGGGCTTGGGAAGGAGAAGGGTAAGAGGAAGGGGGTGGGAAGGGAGGCACGGCACGGCCCGGCGCCGCTGCGTGTCATTGCTGGCGCCAGCTAATTGTCGAGGCCAGCCGGCATTAGCCGAGGAGCTGACCGAAGCGAGCCGAAGGAAGGAAGCCGGTTGGTTGGTTGGTCTTTCGTGAACACGCGCTCGCGCGCACACATACAACCACGACACGACGACGACGACCGACATGTGCAAGCGCGGATCGGCCCGCACACCGGCGTCGTGCTTCGGACGTTGCGCCAGTATTCCACAGCTGCTTCACGCCGCCACCGCCGCCGCCGACGACTACGACGACGACGTTTCTTTCTCTTTTTCTTTCTTTCTGTCGTCGAAATTGAGAGATTCCAATTTTACATTCCTCGATTTATTTATTCCGTTGTTTATGATTACAATGTTATATTAAGAATAGGTAAAGGAAGAAGTAAAGAACGATTTTAAATCGGATCTTTAACTAATGACAATTTATCGTTATATTATATAGATTGTTATTTCAAGGGATAATATATATATTTGAATTTGGTAATTATCTGATATCTCTCTGAGACTCTTGAGTATATTATATTTTTGATTATATTTAGAGAATCGTCGAAGAGTTAAATGAAAATGATGAGAACAACAATAACAACAACGGGGGGTAGGTAGTAGTGGTGGTATCTTTGAATTTTTAGGTTTTATCTAATGAATACTTTTTGAGTTTTTTTTATATTAACAGGGAGGATCTATCTTTCTCTCTCTCTCTCTCTCTCTCGTCTTATCTCTTCTATTGTTAATGTCATTTTAATTATCTTATTATTTCAGTCTAGACTCGAGACATCGTTAGAATAGAAATGAATATATGTAGTTCGAGTATAGTAGTTATCGTAATTAGAATAACGATTAATGTTCGTTTGGCTAAGGTAAACTGGCGTTCGCGTTTTACGATGGCGCCTTGTTTTTCGTAACATGCGCGTCGATGATACCGATGATTTGAAAGAGGTGGAGGAAGAGAAGGAGGAGGAGGAGCAGGAGGAGGTAAAAAAAAGAGGTGGTACTGTTGCTGGTATAGTGGAAGAGAATAAGTAGAAAGAGGAAGAAGAAGAAGAAGAAGAAGAGTAAGAATAAAAAGAAGAAGATGAAGAAGAAGAAGGAAAGGAGAAAAAGGCAAATTCTCCTGCACCGGCGCCTTTATCTTTGTTTTTGCATTCGCCGTGTTATTCGTTGTGTATGAGTTTAGCGCGCGAGGCCGTTAATAATTCACTCCGACGAATCGATTATCATCGAGCGACGACGATATCGTTACGCAAACCGTCGCCCGACCCCGTCCTCGTAGTAGTCGTAGTAGTCGCCTATAAATGTGCGTATGTATTTACGTATAACACACACGCACATATATATATTTCCTATTCGCGGTCCTTTATCTATGTCGTCGTTGTCGTGGTTCATTCTTATATTAAGTATAGCATCCGTGGCAGTAGCCTTTGCTTTTTTAATTTCGCGTTTATCCTTCTTTTTTCCTTCCCCTCCTTCCAACCACCCCTTCCCCATCTCGCTCTTTTTCTATCTCTCTCTCTCGGAAGTTGCGTTCATGTCAAGTTGCGTCACATCGAACGGACATCAGAGGATATCTCCCCGAGAGTAATCGATAAGATTTCAAACGTGTGTGTGTATATATATATATATATTTGTCTTTAATTTCTCAGCGATTAGTAGTATAAATCTTTTCGATCTTTCCCAAGTTTATATTCTGTAGATTTCGTATCGGTAGAATTAAATTCATTCATGTCCTCACTTTTTTTTCTCCTCTCTCTTTCTTTTCTCATGTCTTTTTATTTCTCGAACTTGCGCGATAGCTCGAGGCAGCAACCGGCAACAACAATCAAGGTCATCGTGTTTTGGCAAACCGGGATAGTATCGGCGGCGCTCTCATACTCTGACGAGAATTTTAAGTATCCCCTGAGTCAGCGACTTTATTTTAATTGATATGCCACAGCGCACGATATCATACCCAACGAACGTGAGAAATAACCAGAGAGAGAGAGAGAGAGAGAGAGACAGAGAGAGAGAAAGCAGGAGAAGGAGGAGCCGCCTTCTCTTCATCTCTTTCCATCTTTCTATCTTTTTGCGTGTGGTCTATTTTCGTCTTGCGGATCGGTGATCGAAGCTAAACGAGAAAAGATGAAGAATAAAAAGAAGGAACGTTAATCGTGTTCCGCCATTATGGATAAATCCAGGTGAGCAAGATGGCGCGTCGGAAGATACGCGAGAAACAACCGACCGAGCAAGCAAGCAAGCAAGCAACCAAGCAAGCATCATCATCATCATCCTAACCGGGAACGAATTTCTCTCATCGATAAGGATTTTTTCTTTATTTTTGTTGTTTCTTTCCCCTACTTTTGCATAATACGTTAGGATAGATCCGTTAGTTGTGGGGGACAATCTATAAATACATGCTGACGGGATTCTTGCGGTGGGGCGGGGAGGGGGCTCTTAAAGATGCAAAAGATAAATATATTCATATATTTGCATGTGAACACTCTCGAAATAATCATCTTGGTAAATAAAATAAAATACGGTGATATATATCGCGTGTCTAACATATGAGATCTCTGAAAAATATGCCGCCATTTTGAAAAGGCAAACTCGACCGAACAAATAGACCATCATCAACATCATCATCATCATCATCATCATCAACATCCTCTTCCTCCTACTCCTCCTTCTCTTCCTCCTCGTCTTATCTTTTCCAAATTCCAACTAGAGATAATCGACTCACGTTTTCTCTTCTATTTTCTTTACTTTTCTACTCTCTACGTGGGGATAGTAAGAATTATGGCGTAAGAAAAAAAAAAAAAAGAAAAATATTTGGTTAAGGAAGGAAGTGTAGAAAAAAAAAAAAGGATCGCGTTTTTTTAGAGACGAAATCACGTTTGATAATAGTAATAAGGAAAGATAAAAGAGATAGAGAGAGAGAGTGAGTGGTATCATTTCTTCGACTACGCGTGTGTGTAGGCGCGACGGTAGGTCGGCCATTAAAGAAGCGTTGTTGAAACGACGCCGCCGTCGTCGTAGTCGTAGTCGTAGTCGTCTTCGTCGCCGTCGCCCCCGTTATCGTCTAGGAATTTCGGCGCGAGTAAATGTATACGTAGAATAAGTAAGCAAGCGTCTCTTTCGGTCACACACAACAAATAACTCGTTTCTCCTATCCCTACTCTCAAATATACCTAACACACACGCTCACATATACATATATATATATATATATATACATAAATGCATATGCATTTAACGTAACAATTCGAACGAAACGGGGAAAGGATTTATCGTTTAAGATAAAATAAATATTATCCACGGTATGGGGTAGGAATCTCAAGGAAAAAGAGGAAGACAGAGGGTGGTGATGCTGGTAGCGGTGTGGTGGGTGGGTGGGTGGATGGGCGGGAAGGTGGGTGAATCGTACGATGAAAAATCGTGGAATGTTTAGGAAAGAGAAAGAAATATGGATTATAATAGAAAACAAAAAGCTATATTTCGCTAGGGATACGGTATAATAGTTTATTTTCGCTTTTCGAGTATTGATCAAAAGTTATCCAATCGCCATTTTCCCAGTTATTTTTGTCCGAGGCGCGTTCCATCGGATTCTACGAATGGTAACGGTGGTGGTGGCGTCGAGAAGGCGTTTCTATCTATCCTTCTTTCTTTCTTTCTTTCTTTCTTTCTTTCTTTCTCAAGGGTTACCTTGACGTTTGAGATATTCGCACTGCTGCTGCCCGTCTGTCCGTCCGTCCGTCCATCTATGCTTTCAGAACGAGATACGTAAAAGGACGAAAAACGACATACCGGTTTCACTGGTGCGTGCCAATAATAGAACTCCACCGCTTTTGGACTGGGACTTCTAACGGAGCGCCGTTTCTCGAGATATTTCGTATCGCCGGCAATGCCATCGAGATGAGATGAAATGAGATGAGAAGAGAAGAGTAGTTTAGAGAGGCCTCCTCATCCAAGCAAACTAACCCACCACCACCATGGTCCTTGAGTCCATTTCTACTTCTACTTCTTCTTCTTCATCTTTTTATTTTTCTTGTTTCTTTATTTCTGTCTTTTTCTAGCCAAGTCTGTTTATAATTTATCAATGATTTCCCCCCTTCCTCCTTTCCCCTGCCACGAATCTTAATAACGGATCGTTAAAAAAAAATAGCACGTATATATTATAGTCTAGATTAAAATTTTTCTACGATTTCTCTACGAAGAATTTTGTTTTAATTTAAATCCGTTATATTGTATTTGATCTTTTTTCTTCTTCTTTTTCTTTTGCAAGGGACGACTATGTTATTCGTTGTTGTTCTTTTTTTTGTCTTTCAATTGCTTTTCACAAACATACAAAAAAATCTTGTAATATTTTATTATTAATTAAATCCGAAGAAATTATTTTACGGGCGAACAAGAATTTGACGAAATATTCGTAGCGATTCGAAAAGTTGTGTAGATAAAATCATATTTATCTTCCTATAATGGGAGTTTTTTCAACGAAGTACAAAAAAAAATAAATATATAACGTACAATTAGTTAGCTCAATTTCTTACCAGTTTTCAATTAAAATTTCAATGGTCCTCCCACTATCCTTAGTATATGTGATGGTAAAGGCCTTGAAGAGATTAAACCTACGCACATATATATATATATANTATATATATATATATATATATATATATAAATGTGTTTGTATATAAGTATTTGTATTTGTTTGATGAAACTATCGAAGTATTTACGGTAGTCAGAGATTATAGTATTTGTATATTTTGTTACAGAGTCGCCGCCACCCCCCTACTGCCTTATCGCAGACAGGCTGAGACCAGAAGGTAAGAACTTTCTTTTTTCTTATTATTCATTTAGTTTCTTCTTTCATCTTAGTTTAACAGTGTCGTCTTCCTTCTCGCTAAGATACCAGCGATAACTCATGTTTATTGCTCGCAAACGTCTACTAGCAAGGTTGGTTGGTTGGTTTGCTGGTTGGTTGGTTGGTTGGTTGGTTGGTTGGTTGGTTGGTTAGATGGTTGGTTAGATGGTTGGTTAGATGGTTGGTTAGTTGGTTGGTCCTCTATACGCGTGCGCTACGCGTGTCACGTTTCACGACCTAGCCCAAAGCAAGCTTAGAAAATAATCTTTTACGATAAGCGTATCGAAATATACACGGTTAGAAGAGTTGTCTGTCTATCTGTCTGTCTGTCTGTGTGTGTCTCTGTTGTATGAATGTATGTATGTTTGTGTGTTTGTTCGCATAGTATGAATTTTTTCTCTTCGACAGCAAAAATATAAAAATAGAACGAACAAATATATGACAACGATGATGATGATGATGCTACGTGGTATTGGAAGAACAAGAATATATGCTAACCAACTAATATCATTTTTTTTTTATCGTATTTTATATTAATCATTTATATATATATATGTATTTTTTTTTATTTTTTTTTTATTTTATTTGTATTATTATTCGCGTAACTGGTAGCGAAGATACGAGATTCGATTACGATCTTTCGCAGCACATTAGTTTATCTTTTTATTCTCTTATCTTGAATTAGATCTATAATTGCGAACTTATATGAACACGATCGACGACGCGACACATTCGTTTTGATAACCGAATATGCGACTAGATCTCGATTTACCGGTTCGCTTTTTTATCCGACATCTTGGTTATTAAACACACACACACACACACAATATATATGTATAACTATTAGATATTTATATATTATTTTATATTGAAAAAAAAAAACAAACACGAAAGAGAGACAATATTATTTTGTATACAATAATCATGTTTGTAATATTTCAATTAATTTATGTCATTCTAATCGTGTTTTTTAATCAAAATTTTACTGCACACGACTATTAGAATTTTTTTTTTTTGTATAAATATCAATTTAGACTCATCCATCATCTGTTTAGATTCGTAAAAGATTAATTAACGAGAATCAAATAGATGGTAATATAATTAATGAAAATGTATATGAAATAATTACAATTTTTGAATATTCAATTATACGAGATATATCATATATGTGTGTGTGTATGTTTGTGTATTTATTTGTTTGTTTATTTATATGGGGTGGTACTTATGTATGTTTATACAAGACCAAGCATGAATCACATTGATTTTCTTGCTGCGTCAAATTCGTGTCTGTAAATCGATCATCTTGTTGATTGCGACGGGGAACGTATTGCTATGGATTTCAAAGGATATCATCGTTTCAGTGGTCGATATAATCCTCTCGCGTGCAAACCATCATCTCGTACGATCGATCGGACGAGTCATTTTCGCACACGCGAGAAGATCCACCCGATAGAAACGGAGTTCAAACTATTATTATTATTATTATTATTATTATTATTATTATTATTATTATTAATTTAATATTTTTTTGGAAAGAGAACAAAATTTTCTTACGAAATTATACGCGAAATAATATAACGAACAAATGTTATTTTTGTCCACGTTATTTTTCACGTATAATACAAATTGGTATTATTGTTTCGATTTTTAAAATTGTTAATTACATTTGATCATTGTTTTCGATATTATAAATAGATATATATATAAATTTATAATCGTATTTACTTTATCGTAAATTAAACACAACAATCAATCACATTTTATTTTTTCTTGAAACAAATTTGTAGAAAATTTTTGATACCTATACAAGGTGTTTTATAAATCGATAAAATATATAATACATATTATTCTTTTTCTCATTTATTATATATTACATTGAGAAAATGAATTAAAAATATAATGCGAATATCCACCACGTACACAATGAAAGATAGTTTTGAACAGTTTCGATTCGTTGACGAATGATATTAAATAAATACACGTTTCTCGAGAAATATATCGTCCTTGTATTCTTTATTTGTACAATGTTCGCAACAGTTTTGACTGCTTCGATCTTGACGTTTTTCCCCCTTTTTCTATCTTCTTTCGTGCTCGATCCTAAACTGGTTTTCTCACGATCAATGTGGGAACACACGTGTATGTAATACTTTTTATACATATATATATACACACACACTTATATTCACCATGTTATATACGTATACAATACTTATTTGTTCGTGAAGATGGATACTAGTTGACACAATCAATTATCTCGCGATAGGTTTCATTTATATATTAACATTTCATTTATATATATGTATAAAGTATAAAACTTATTTGAAGAAAATGAACTTGCGTAATAATATTCGGCACGACAATGCTATTTGCTTTCGTTAACCTGTCCATCAAACTATTCCGTTCGTAGAATAAGTTATTTCGAACGTGCAACCGGACTCCGATCATTCACGACTATTTATACAAAGGAATTCGATACGAAAGTAGGTATATACGGGGAGACAACTACTGACGTATTTCTACATGTATATATGAACAACACGTGTAGGTATTCGCATAAATGGATAACAAATTTTTAATGATTATTTTCCTCTTCCCAATATATAAATACAATATTTTAATCACACATATATTTCTGTTAGATTAAAAATATAATAATAATTAAAATCATTTTGTAATACAAATTACATATCTACAATCTGTCTAAAATAATAATAATATATATAATAATAAATTTGAAAAAGAAATGTTAGATATTTGTCTACACATATATTTCTGTTATATTAAAAATATAATAATAATTAAAATCATTTTGTAATACAAATTACATATCTACAATCTGTCTAAAATAATAATAATATATATATATATGATGATGATAATAATAAATTTGAAAAAGAAATGTTACATATTTGTCTACAAAGATGAAGTTCTTTTAATCTCTGACATACGTGGTAAATACATACATACACACATACATACATACAAACATATGTATACACTTTCGTGCCAAGCTCTCATCGTGACGAAATAATAGCGCCTGCAGTTAGGCGTTCTTCGACATCTGTATATATATATACATAGAATGATACATGTATATTAGACAGCTCGTATATATTTTAATGTGTGGTATGTGGATGTATATAATATGTGTATAGAAAGAGAAAGAGATATAGAGAGGGAGAAGTACTTACCTTCGTGGTTCTATAGCCTGAGGTCAATATCTCTCGTCGATAGGACGTAGCAAAGCTTACGTTTATGTAAGAACTATCTGACAATGATCCAAAGCTGACGTTTAATGCGTCATTTTGTATATTCGATGATATAAGTATTTTATATACAATAATAATAATAATAATATATATATATATATAGGATCAGGGAAAATGTTTCTATTCGTATCTTCTAAATAAAAAACAAATATTGTTCGTATTATTAATATATAGTCTCCTTTTATAATCAATTTTTAATTTTATTATGGTGTATCATTTTATTTTTTTTTTTTTGGAAACTAACGCAATTATTGTCGAATTTAATTAATATCGTAAAAATACGAACAAACTTTTTCCCCCAATCTATATATATATATATGTGTGTGTATTATTAATAGTTTGCAAGAATGTGTACGAGTATATGTGAATAAGTTATATTTGTTGGTAAAATTGGATAGTTCGATAGTAAAAGATTTTGTTTTTTTTTTTTTTTTATGAAGAACACTTTTCGTCGAAGAGAATTCTTTTTAACGACAAAAAATTCTGTTCTCTTTCTCTTTCTCTTGAGAAAAGTAGCTAGAGAAAAGTTAGGGAAAGATGAAAAGAAGGACACTTTAGCCACGAAACGGGCCACTTGTTGCCGCTCGAGTGCTCCCCACCGGGATGAATTTCAATCTGCTCTTTCCCGTCAGGGTTCGTTCCAACTTATATAGAAAACTTCTCTTCCCCTTTAAAATTCGATCGTATTCTACTATCGTGTATTTTTACATTTATAAAGAAAACATTTCGAGGCCAAAAAAAAAAAAAAAAAAAAAAAAAAAAAAAAANAAAAAAGAACAGAAAATTTCAACGCGAATTTATGCGTTCCTATTTTAATCGTAACTTATATAATATATAATATAATAAAAAAAGAAGAAAGAATTCATTACAATTTTAATAGCATAATAATTCGATCATACGTTACGATTAATAATGATTCATTTTATATTATGACAATATTAATCCTTTTAGTGCTATGGACGCATATATGCGTTTGGTAAACGCATGATTCTTGTCAAATGAAAATAATATTGTGAGAAAAGAAAAATTGTATTAATTAAATATAATTTATTAATATTAGCATATCTGGTCATATTAATAATAAACTATTTCATTCGTAGAAAATACTCTTCAGTTAAAAGTATTCACCACTCAAAGGGTTAATATTTTGTTCGTTTCTTTATTTAAAAATAAAATAAAATAAAATAAAAACAAACAAGTAAATGAGAGGAATTTTTGATTGAGGAAGAAAAACAAAAGTAGAATGAAGTGGAACGATTTTGTAAATTTATGCAAAATGGTAGAAGAAGGGGAAGGGAAGTGGTAACAGAGAAACGGAATTAATAAACAATGAACACATTATTACGCATACGAATATTGCGTAAATTTCAAACAAATCATCGAGACGAATGACACGTTGTAAACCTTTACAAATCGTGTTCATCGAAAGAAGAGAATGAGTGTATAGTATTCAGTTATCATGTGCACGATGCATAATAATACGTACAGCAAATAGTATGTCCCTTTCGAACGTAACAAGTTGCGAGGACAAATCTTTTCGAGTATCGTGTATCGCTTCTAAATTTTTTATTTCCTTTGCATTTCAACCCACTTCTTCTTTCCAACCCCGTTTAACTTTTATTTTTAATTTATTTTCAATTCCATGTACAATAAAGTGTGTCCAAAATATTCGCGTAGAAATTATTTTCGGTAAAGATTATATTTAATATATCTAAAATTGTGTACTTTCGTAATCATAGAAAAAAAAAAATAATAATATAAAATAATAAAACATAAGAAAAAATAAAAGAAAAAATGAAATTATGGTGGACGCCTGTTGCCCCCATTCCTTCGTCCTTGGCATTCTCGCGTACACACACACAAACAAACACATATACAAAGACATTTATTACTATTCACTATCATCATCTTTCATCTACCACTACACACTTATTTAGAAGGAAGTTAGGAACACGCATTTTCTATCTCTCTCTCTCTCTCTCTCTCTCTCTATTTCTTCCCCGAATCTTTCTCATTCACGTTTTCATTCTTTTTTTATTTTGAGGGACGATCGGCGGGAGTGGCACCGGCACCAACCACTCGCATTCCATTGACTCATGTCAGAATGAAAAAGATCAACATAGCGGCATAGTTTTCTTTCGTAGTTCCCCTCCCTTCCCAACTATTTTCGATGGTTTTGTGAACAAGAGTAGAGATTACATCTATATACGAATTTAGAATAGAAAAAGATAAATGAGGGTTGTATAAAAAGGTTTGAAATAAAACCAAAATAAAAGATCATGGATTCTTTCTCTCTCTCTCTCTCTCTCTCTCTCTCATTTTTTGATATTTTTCTATCTTCCTTCCTTCCTATTTTCCTCATATTATTGTACACCACTTTTTTTACTTTACCATCACCATGAGATGAGACGAGGAGATGGGGGTTGTATAAACATGATTAAGAAAAGAAAGATCATTGTTTCTTTCTCTCTTTCTCTTTAATTCTTAATGATAAGGTATCACAGGGAACTTGGACATAAAAAAGAACTAGAACTTAATTTAACTAAGTTGGACATTTCGTCCCTTTATTGAAAGACTTCTTCAACAACTGGAAATTTTATTTTATTATTATTTCTTATATTACGACATATATAATTTTTTACATGTTACCTTAATCTTTACAGTTCAGCGTCTTTTTTCATTGGGTAGACATACATTTTTCTTTTTATTAATATTCAAAACACAAAACATCTAAACTTCGTTAAGTATTCGTTCGTTATAATTTGAAACCCTCAACAAAACTGTTTCAATCTAGACTAGTGTTTATTAGTAATATTATTAATTTCATATTTTTCTATCTTCCTTCCTTCCTTCCTTCCTATTTTTCCCCATATTGCTATACTATTCTTACCCTACCATTACCACCACCACCAGGCATCAGGTAGTGAGACGAGGGTAGGGTAAGGGGGATGTACACAATCATCGTGCAAATATTAGTCCGATGATAAGAAACAAATTGACACGTAAACTTGGGCACCCACGTTCTGCGGTAATAACGGCGACGTTTTGATCGCGCACAAACATCGTTCGAGTTTTTTTCTCACCAATTCTAAACAAAAGAGATAGAAGAGAGAGAGAGAGAGAGTGTAGTTATGGTTGCTTGCTTGCTTGCTTACTTGTTTGCTTGTTGAGTATATATGTGTGTGTTCTTTTAAGAGATAAAAAAAAAAGAAGGAAAAATATTGTTCGTGTTCCGATGACAATCATTTCTACTTCTTTCTATCTTTTTGTTCACTCCTCGTGTCAGATCAGAAAGAGAAAAGGAGATAGTTGTGTTTAACCATCAGAAATTATCATCCTCGAAACTAAAGAAGAAGAAGAAGGAGAAGGAGAAGCAGGTATCGTTTAGTATCGTTTCTTGGTGTCCTTCGAAGTAAAATAAGTAAAAGAATAAAAAGAAAAAAAATAAGAAATACACCCTTCGCGTTCCTGAGGAATGCCGTCTTATGTTAGTTGCGTTCGGCAGGGTCCATCGTTCTTCTTTACCAGAGCAACCTTTTAAGATACTCTTTCGGGTTTCGGCAAACAGGAAACGCTTAAACCCCTCCTTGCTAGAAGAATTCGGTCAAGTATTCAAGTATCTTATGTCTCTCTCTCTTTTTCTGGGTGTGTGTGTGTGTGTGAGCTCGTACGCGTGTGTTTCTCTTAAGTGTTCTCTCTTTTCGAGAGAATCAATGAATTTCAATCTTTCACTTCGATTTTTCTTAGATTATCATTCATTTATTAATACAAAAAAGAAATCCAATTTATCCAAGGATTTTCTACAAATATTTTTGTTCTTCGATCTTTCGAGATATATTCTAAAATGATTGCACAATTTTTAGAATGCGATTCGCGTTGTTATTATTATTATTGTTAATTTACTTTACTCCGATGTTTGTTAGATTATCATTCATTTATTAATACAAAAAAGAAATCCAATTTATCCAAGGATTTTCTACAAATATTTTTGTTCTTCGATCTTTCGAGATATATTCTAAAATAATTGCACAATTTTTAGAATGCGATTCGCGTTGTTATTATTATTATTATTATTGTTAATTTACTTTTTGTTTCCTTTTTCTTTCTGACTTTTTTCTTCTTCTCATACAAGTATGGGTGGGTGGTTGTTTTTCACAAATAGTTTCTCTTACTTTATTTATTTATTTATTTATCTGTTTTCCTTTTTACATTTGTCTCGTTGAATTTCTTTTTTTTTTTTTTTTTTTTGAGTTTTTCGTCTCAGGACAAAATTAGAAAACCGCGAACGGCAATCGCGCTTTGTCAGGAACGAAATTAGATCCTCCTCGTGTTCCTCGGGGCAACTTCTCTCTCTCTCTCTCTCTCCCTCTATCTTTTTAAAGAAATAAATTAGACGTCTCGCGAGAGGGAAAGAGAGAAAGAGAGAATCATTATTTCGGTGGATTCTGTCAGCTCTTTTGTGACGACGACGACGAAGACGACGAAGACGGCGCCGTAGAGAATTTCCACGCGAAGTACACACCGATGAATCATCCGGACGATATGCTCGGCACGATTTTCCCTTCTCCGTGGTTTCCCTCCCCTACCTCCCTCTCTCCCACCCTCTCTCTCTCTCTCTCTTTGTCTCTCTCTGTTTCTGTCTGTCTGTCTCTCTCTCTGTTTCTGTCTGCCTGTCTTTCTCTGTTTCTGTCTGTCCGTCTGTTTGTCTGTCTGTCTGTCTCTCTCTTTCTATATCTCACCCTCTTTCAAAATCCGCGAGATTAATCGTCCGCGATCGTGAACTCGAACGTAAATCGTCGGTTGGGACTTCTTTATGTATCGAGAATTCTCTTCTACTACTATTACTACTACTATTATTTCTTTTTCTTATTCTTCTATTTCTACTTCTTCAGTCTAAATGCTGTTCACAGCAGTTGTTGCAATAAATTTCGCAATAATTAAAACAATGATTTATCTGCGAATTTATATGGTATTATTTTTTATACGGGTATTTTCGTTTTGTTTCTTTTTATATATATATATATATATATATATATCATACGTACTACACGTTTGTACAAGGTCATTTTATTATTTGTTTTTTAAACCTTTTTTCCTTTTTTTTTTTTTTTTTGATATTGTTGTGCAACGATGATTGACAAATATTTGGTTTTTCTTTGAAAATTTTATTAATTTTTTGTTGTCTTGGGATCGTTTCGGAATCATGATTATTTTTATTATGTCATTTTTTATATAAATCAACGACAATTGGACACGGCTTTTTTTTTTGGGTCATCATCTGCGTTAATTATTTTATTATTATTATTATTCATTTGTAGAAAATACTAAAATACATATACTTAGATACGTATAAATAAATGCGTTAGCAGCGTACGGTTTTGGGTTAGACGAGAAAAGTGCGAGTAACGAGAAGAGGGGTGGGAGGAGGAGGGGGAGTAGGAGGAGTGTCGCGTAAAAGTGTTAGCAAATAGTATAATAAAACAAATGACGCGTTGGAGGGAAAGAAGAAGAAGAAGTTTCTCTTTCTAAAAAGGGGTTGCCCGTTTATTTTCAGATCGTGCGCCCAGCGAAGGGGATCAACAACGTCGGTGCAAAAGCAACACGCCCCTGCTACCACTTCCCGGCTCTCTTACCACCAACGGAGAAGGTAACTATCTTTTAAATATTATATTCTCCCATTTTTTAGATCATTTTTCTCTTCACCAATTTCGACACATATTCCTAATTCGTATTATTCTTTTTTTTTGTTTTCCATCTTTGATGAATTTTTTTTGCAATATCTACCATTCATATTAGGTTTTTCCAAATCTGTTTTTTTTTTTTCCCATTTTTTTTTTATTATTAATATTTTCAAAGTAAATTTTTTACAAAACAAAAAAAAACAATCTCCGTTATGCAGTTACAAAGTCAAAGTTTCGACACTATGAACGCACCCTGATCATTATTTTTAATTATTATCAATCATTATTACTATTTTGTTCGGTATTTGGTCTCGCTATATTATTTTTTTTTTAAATTGAATTTAATAATTAAAAGAAAAGAATGCGTGTGGTGGATGTTATGATTATTTTGTCATCGTAACGGTTGTTTCAAGTAATGGTTTATTAAGTCTACGCCATTGGTTTGGTTGGTATCAATGGTTACGCCTATATATCCACGTGGCTAACCTTGAACGTCGCCACGAGAACGATTTCTTCTCTTAGTCTTCGTCTTCGCCATGCGTTTTTCACTTCCGCGTCCTACAATCGAGATCCTCTACTACCAGTGAATTTGCCAACAGGTTCTTCTATCTTTCTTTCTTTCTTTCTTTCTTTCTTTTTCCTTTTCGTTTTCGTTTTTATTTTTTTTATTTCTAATTTTTTTCTTGGAAAAACTAAAACAAACGGAAAAAAGTTTTTTATGGTTCCGACCCAGTGAGATTGGAAAGTTTTTACACATTTTTTTTCTACTTTGTCATTTTTTTCCACGCGATACTTTCCATGAATCTATCATATGATTTTTTTTTTAGATAAATTTGTAAAATTTCCACGCATCGTTCGGTAAAGTTTCTTATTTTTGTTTCGTTTTTGTTTTTTTTTTGTTTTTTCTTTTTTAATTTATCGAAACTTAACATAAGCGAGAGGAAAATTGTACACAGTTAAAATTTCTCCTATCTATCTCTTTTTTTTTTTTTTTTTGCATTTTTTATTTTTTTTTTTCCATCCGTTCAATCTTTTTTCTTCATCTTGGAAGAAATTTTCTCGACGTGGACGTTCCACGAGGCTGACGCGCTTGCTTTGCAGGTTTTCACGCATGACGCACCGCGTGGTACGTGAACTTTTCTTTTCGTTTTTCGGCTCGTTCGTTCCTTCGTTCCTCCGTTCATTCGTTCGTTCGTTCTCCTTCTCGTTTGTTTCGCGGAACTCTCGAAACGTTTTTGGTTGGCCCTGGCTACAAAACGAGATCAATTTTTAGTTCCCGTTCTCTCTTTCTCTATCTATCTTATTCTGATTCTTTGACAAACATTTTTCTTCTTCTTCTTCTTCTTATTCTTCTTTCGTACTTTTTTTCAATTCAACGTTTTACGTGTATTTGGGACAAGGTCAAGAAATATTCTTAATGAAATGAATTTTTGAGGAGTTTCTTATACTATAGTAAACAATATTTTTAATGCACGGTGGTTTAACCACCATTAGATTAACTAGTTCCTTTTTATATCACTAAAATCAAACAACTTAGTGACAATTAGTATAGTAGTAGTAACATAACATAAATAACTTATCTATAAAAATGATGTGCTTGTTAATAGAAAAATAATTGGAATCCGTAAAATGAGTCCGATAAACAAACAAAAATACAGTAATGAAGAATAAATTAATATCTAATATAAATAATGAGATCTTACAATTAGA